GAATGGAAAAACATTTCTACCAGCTCTTCCTCAGGCAAAGGACTAATATCTAGAATATATAAAAACTGAAAATATCAGACTGCCTAGATTTAAACATTCAGACCAAATATGGGAATCTGAACTGAATAGACACTTCTCAGATGAAGCTGAAATGGCAAATAAATTCATGAAAAAAATGTTCAACACCACTGGTCATTCAAGAATTGAAAATTAAAGCAACCCTAAGGGTCCATCTTGTTATGCTTTGTGTCTAGAGGGCCCCCCAAAGCCTCATGTACATTTAGATGAGGCTTTTTCAGAGGTAACTGAATCTAGAGTTTGTGATCAATTCATGACTCAATACTAGGATTAAGGGGGCTAGCATTGAGGGTAGATGTCCATTGATTAGATTGGTACTGACCTAACCCTGGCCAACTGGATACAATATAAAGGACAGAAAGAGGCTTGAACCAGGTGTGGTGGTGCACCCCTGCAATCCTGACACTTGGAGGCTGAGGCAGGAGTGAACTCAAGGCCAGCCTGAACTGCACAGCAAGACCTTGTCTCAAAAAGACCAACAAAATAAAGAAAAGGCTTATCTCTTCTCTTGTTGATTTTGCTGGGGTTTTTTTGCCACCATGAACTGTTTCCTCTTTGTCATGTGCCACCTTGCCTTAGGGACAGCTGATTATACCAAAACCTCTGAAACTGTGAGCTAAATAAAGCTTTCCCTCCTTTAACTTTGGGTTTTGGGAATTTTGTTTCAGCTATGAGAAAAGTAAGTAGGCCACATGTCACTCCAGACAGAATGGCTATTATTAGGAAATCAACTGATCCCAAATGCTGGTGGGGAAAAAGGGGCCCTTCCCCACTGTGGAAATCAGTGCAGAGATTTCTCACAAAACTAAAACTAGAGGTTGCATTTGACCCAGCTATTCTCCTTCTTGGTATCTTCCTGGATGAATTAAAAGCATCAAACCACAGTGATAGATGCACACTCATGTTTATAAAGTGGCACAATTTATTATAGCTAAATCTTCAACAAGTTCGTTTTATTGTGGTGTTTTGTTTTGTTTTTGTGGTACCGGGGATCAAACGCGGGACCTTGTGTCTGCCAGGCAGGTGCTTATGCCACTGAACTATATCCCCAGTCTCAAATGTTCAACAAGTAATGAATAGATAAAGATTTTTTTATACAATGGCGTACTACTGTCCTGGGTACCACATGCCTTGTGGGCCCTGCTGTGGGTGCGCCAAGCCAGCCACTGAAACTAGGCATGGTGGGGCATGCCTGTAATCCCAGCGCTGCTGAGTCTGAGACAGGAGGATCACTAAGAGTCCGAGCTTTGTAGTGAGACCCTGTAAATAATAAATAAATTAAATAAATAAATAAATAAATAAATAAATATTGGGAAATGGGAAGAAAATGTTCAAAGGAAAAGCGGAACATGGGAAAGGATTGGGGAAGGAATGAAGAAACAAGAAAAACAAGGAAAAAAGGAAACAAAGCTTTTATAAGTGAAGAAGAGAGGCTGAAGGGAGAGAAGGGAGATAGAAAACAAAAGAAGGAAGGTATATCATCTACAGATACAAATGCCCTATGTTATCAGTATATATATCTAAAATATACCTATAAAATACAAAAAACTAAAAAAAGTGTGACGTCTCAAGAATCATTCAAAATCATTCCAAGAGTACACAAGTAAAACGAGAAAACTATGAGCGAAGTTGGGCAGCTAAGTAGATAAACAAAAAATAGTATCTGCACCATGGAGTTCCACTGTGCCACTAAAAACATAAATTGGAGCCACTTGTGGGAAAATAGATGTACCTTGAGCCCATGTTAAGTGAAATAAATCAGGCACCCAAGATCAAATATCACATTCTTTCTCTTACATGAGAAACCTACAGTAAAGTTAGAGCAAAGTGAAAGATAGATAATAGGAAGTAGAGAGGTAGGTCGTCCTCGGAGGCAAGGGGGCCAAGAGATCAGGAAGAGGAGGAAGTTGGGATGCGCTATGTGCGTGCACCAGCTACACACAAGGGATGTGAACCTTAAGTACCGTGAGCATGTGCAAACAGCAACAACAACAACGGAGCAAGAACAAAAGGAGGGGGACCAAGGGATGGCTGGAGGTAGGGAAGGGAAGGCAAAGAGAATATAGAAAAGGAAGGAAGATGTGCTATGTGCATGCATGCACCAAGTTCCCATGAGGCGGCGAAGTATTATGCACCACACATATTAATAGACTAAAATAACAATAAGAAACATAAGCTGGGCAGACATGTAGAGGATCCTAAATTCAGCTTTGAATGAGATGTTTATATGTCATACAGAAAAAAATGGTAAACCATTTAAGTAAAATGTATTTTTATAAAAATATCCTGGTCACATG